GACAGACCAGCAGCACTGGTGCCATGTCCTGTCAGACAGGAGCCGAGCAACGCACAGAGTGTCTTCCACAGCCAGCACACTGAGTGGAAGCTGGCTTTTTGCAGCAGTGTTTACATCTGGGTTTGCTGCATTAAACACCAAACCTGCTTTCCTCTGAGGTTATAAAATGGAGTGTTTTCCCTTGGCTGGATCTTCGCTCAGACATGGATGATCTTCTGCTTTCTTGGCACCTGGCATGCTTTTCACACACCCCGAGTCCCTAGCAGCACGCTGGGGATGGTAAGGTAAGTGACGCTTTACTTCAAGGGTTACTTTACATTTGTACAGGCTAGACCTGATTAAGAGGTAAAAGTGATATCAAAAGTCTGTGTGCACTGTGAAATATATTGTATTTGTCTTTTGTGTCCCAAACACCTGATGAATAAAACATGCCAATGTCCATGAAGCGCCCAGAGAGACTGTGGAGTGGGCCTCACGTGATCCTGCCCCTCTGCTCTGTTCTCGTGAGACCTCCCCTGGAGCATTGTGTGCAGTTCTGGTGTCCTCAACATAAAAAGGACATGGATCTGTTGGAACAAGTCCAGAGGAGGCCACGAGGATGATCAGGGACTGGAGCACCTCCCGTATGAAGACAGGCTGAGGAAGTTGGGGCTGTTCAGCCTGGAGAAGAGAAGGCTGCGTGGAGACCTCATAGCAGCCTTCCAGTATCTGAAGGGGGCCTATAGGGATGCTGGGGAGGGACTCTTCATTAGGGACTGTAGCGACAGGACAAGGGGTAATGGGTTAAAACTTAAACAGGGGAAGTTTAGATTGGATATAAGAAGGAAATTCTTTCCTGTTAGGGTGGTGAGGCACTGGAATGGGTTGCCCAGGGAGGTTGTGAATGCTCCGTCCCTGGCTGTGTTCAAGGCCAGGATGGACGAAGCCTTGGGTGAGATGGTTTAGTGTGAGGTGTCCCTGCCCATGGCAAGGGAGTTGGAACTGGATGATCTTAAGGTCTTTTCCAACCCTGTTCTATGATTCTAAGGAAGCAGTAAATCCTTTGGGGTTAAGGGGGGGAGTGGGGCGTCCTTAAAAGTATAATGATATTGCTGGTGCATTGCCCTGCCCCATTTTTTCCATTTCAGAGACAATTATTTGCAGCATATACAAAGACCCTGCCTCCTGTCTTTGCTGGACACTATTTCTCTGTGGGGTCTGGGCACCTCACAGGCACCTCAGCACAGCATTTTCCTTTAGAACCATAGAGTCATAGAATAGTTTGGGTTGGAAAGGACCGTAAGATCATCCAGTTCCAACCCCCCTGCTGTGGGCAGGGACACCTCACTCTAAACCATCTCACCCGAGGCCTCGTCCAGCCTGGCTTTGAACACTGCCAGGGATGGGGCATTCACAACCTCCTTGGGGAACCTTTGGCAAAGACTCTCCTAGAGCTCTGAAGATAAAACACTGAGGAAAAAAATTCCCACCCTCGTAGCACTAAATCTATCTCTGCTTCAGGTTTAACAAAGTCTCCTTAATTCATCTGTGATGAGAAGTTGGCAGGAGGTTGTTTAATTATTAGGAAAATTATGGAGAGGGAAGAGTGGGGCAAAATGTTGTTGCTGCTTTCTTCTGTAGGAGACAAGTGACTGGATATTGCAAATTGGCTAGACTGGTTAGCAGGAGAGGGGGATGCTGTGTTTCAGACCTGGCTTTAGGGTATGTTGGTGCTGCACAGAAACCTGTGTTCCACAGACACAGCAGGGATCAAAGGAAGTTATCTGCCAGGAACAGGGATTTTGTGGACAGTTTTATTTCCAGGATGTCCTCAGGTTCAATAATTTGTGATGCTTCCCAGTGCGATAGTGAGTGCTTGGGACTAGGGATTTCATTTTGGTTTTTTGTCTTTTAATATGGACCTCATCTGAAAAATACGCATTGGAGGTAAAAGTGTACCCCTGGGATGAAGTCAATGCCCTTTTTGTGACAGACAAGTCCATGCTCTCCTGTATGAATTGCAGGAATTGCTCCTGTCCCCAGCCTGGCTACTGCACTGGCAGTTACTGGCTACTTTGGGAGGACAGGAGATGGTTGTAGTTGAGAGGAACAAATATATGAAGCTGTGTGCTATCTCTTTCTTCAAGCCTTGCAAATCTAGTGAGTCCAAACATGGAAAATGTGTTTTCTTCATTTTTTCCCCTCATTTTCTTAACAAGAATCAGTGACAGAGAAGTATGTGAACAAAGCCCCAGGGTTTGAGTTTTTAAGTAATTTTGCAGTCAAAAGACATGACTGTTCCCACAGTGGATTTAGATCCTTTCTCCAAGGTGATCTGGAGTCATTTTAGAGCACGTTCATTCTCTTCAGTTAGAAGCACTGTGTGCCATGGGACTGGTGCCCAGTGTACCAGCAGCAGTGGGCACTGCACAACACCAGGGACAGCTGCTAGTGGTGGTTTGCACAGGAGCAAGGAGGTCGAGCCTGGGGACAAGGCTGAGCACAAGGGTTTTCCTGTAGCTGCTTCAGCAAGCCACAGAGGGATGCAGGAAGGATTTCACAGCTTTTGCTGGGAGCTGGCCGGCTCTGTGAACCCACGAGCAGGGCAGAGCTGACCACGCAGCCTAAAGCTGTGCAGTTAAAACAGCTCTTCAATGTCCGTGTGATTTTACATGCGGGTATTAGAAAAGTGGTGACAGATCCACTTAATTAAAGCTAAAGCTTTGGCTCTTGGGGATCTTAGGCCACTAAGTACGTAGTCCAGTGTGGTTTAAGGGATTAAAGAATCAAAGTTGTAGAAATTAATCAAATGTAGAGCAGTTTTTTCTGTTGAGATATACCTATTTACACGTCCTGCTATAAGCAATACAGTATTTGCATACAAACAGAAGTGTGGTTTATTTTTTAAAAAGTTACTTAAATCACAAGTGTTGTAAGACCAGGCTGTGTTCAACACTCTTTATGGTGAACTTGTAAATGACTGTCAAAGTAATAAATTACTGAGCCCTGCACTAGCATCTCCTTGCAAATCTGAGGCCACTAGAAGCATGCTGTCCACCTGGGCACTTTGTCTGTAACATAGCAATGAACCAAACACAGATGCATGTATTTCCACAGGACCTTTGTGTTTATTTAAGACAATTAATGGCATCATCTACTGTGGAGTTATAAGGGGGAGTGGGGGGGAAGGAAGTAAGGTCAAAAAAGCAATATGAAAAAGTGGTTTTATGTGGATGAACAGCAGATGTAGTTGAGAAAGGGCTGTCTGCTCGCCTGGAGCTGCCAGCACGTGGCAGACAGGTAGAGAAATCGTGGAGGGTGGGCAGGATTCAGCCTTCATCTGCTCAGGGCTGAGGGAGGAAAAGGTCTTTCCATATTGCATCTCTCCACAGCACCAGCTGGTTGAATGTTAAGGTACCTGTATATCATAGAATCACAGCATAGTTAGGGTTCGAAAGGACCTTAAGATCATCAAGTTCCAACCCCCCTGCCATGGGTAGGGACACCTCGCTCTAAACCATATCACCCAAGGCCTTGTCCAACCTGGCCTTGAACACTGCCAGGGATGGAGCATTCACAACCTCCCTGGGCAACCTATTCCAGTTCCATGTGTGTTCATATAAATATATACAGGATCCTCTGAACCTACAGCCCTCGGGGATATTAATTTCCTGTCCTGTTGATATTTGCAGTATTTCAAACATTGTTTTCTTGCATTGGGACTGAATAAACAAATGAAGCCTGCTGAAAGCTTTCCAATGAAACAAGCAAGTTCCAGGCATGTGGTGCAGGAATGGTTTCTGACAATTTTCTCCCTGGTCCCCATTTCTCAGCTTGATTTCCCCAGTTGTAGAACTCAGATGAACTTTTGAAATGGCTTCTGCCTAGGGTCTGTTTTTCCCACTGCCTAATGTCCCCACAATGTGTTTCAAAAGCTTTGTAGAATAGATAGGAATTACAACTGTTCAGGTGAAGTATCTTCTTAGTAGTTACATGAACTATCCGGTGTAGGAGACTACCTAAACACCATGAGTGAGCATGTATTTTAGGAATTGTTAATACAACAGGGTCCATAATTATTTGTGTACAAAATCGGACTTGTAGGAGAATTTCTTTTTCTAGGACTACAAGCCATGCCTTGACAAACAAAAGCTTCACTTCAGGTCCCTGCTGGATGAAGATTTCATTATAAAATAGGGGATGAAAATAGTAATCACACTCAGTTTCCATGTAAATTTAGGTGCAGAGGTCTCCCAGCACTAATCTTCCATGCAAACAGCCGCACTGAGTGCATGGGTTAAAGGCAACATTGCAGAATCCCTGCTTGGATACGCTGAAGCTGTGCTAGGGCTGGACAAGGCCAGGTGTGCTCCTGTGCATGGCTGTTGTTGCACTTGGTTTTGGGTGGTTTGTGTCTTTTGTACACTTACCTACATGTGTGTACAGTACTGACTCGGGGAGTCCAGGATTGATTACTTTCTTTTTACTGTTTAGCTGAAGACAAACCACGGCTGGCTTTGCTATTTGACAGCAAGGATCATGACTTGTCAGAGGAGGCAAACAAGGATGTTTGCAGAGGGCCGCTCTGTACCCCTGGTTGGGCAGTGAGACATGAGGTTTGCAGAAGTCGCCAGCTGTAAAATCTGACATAAATATTGCATGTATTAGCAATCTCCAAACCTCCCATGTGTTCTAGGGGCTCTAAGGTTGTGCCCTTTCAAAGGGCTCTAAGGTTGTGCCCTTTCAAATTGTTACTCTTGGATATGGTAGAGATTCATGCGTGCAAAACTGCCTGTTGTTGCACAGACCAGTTCATCTGCCTTGGGTCTCACATGCCACAGTGCGATTGAAGTTTAAAAAGAAAACATAAGGTTTTCTCAACCTTATGCATTATGAAACATTAAAATTCTAATGTTTAATGGCAAAGATCTGCTGGAAAAATAAACGTTAACCTAGTCCAAGTTTTACCTATGTTTAACATGTAAATATTAAGTTTCTGGGTCTCTTCAAAGCCTACATCTTATCCCCAAGCACAGGTTACTCATTAACTGATTAAGCCCAACCGAGTTTTCATTTGAAAATCTGGTCTTTCCAAAATGGAGGAGAGAACATTGCTCGCATTGATGGTCTTTTCCTCACTCATAGTATTAGCAGAAGCTATTGCTCAAAAGGTATTTGTTGTATTTTATTTCTTTTTGACAATATCTTGTTTGCTCATTTGGTGATCCATGATTTTGTGGTAGCTGGCCAGATAATGCAGTTATATCCTCTGGTGACTGCGCCTGTGGAGCGTTAAGTGTACGGTGGTGTGATTTTAGAGCTTTGGGTCCTTTTAAGGCCCTTTATATTGTTAGGGAAACAGTGAAAGGCTTGTATTTCCATTGTGCCTATTCAGGAAAGTGTGAAACGCAGGCAGGTTTCTGTGAGGCAGGGGCAGGTCATGTGGCTGCTGCAGGGGTGCCAGGTTTGAGTATGGCAGGGCAGCAAACATGAGCAGAGGTGCTCAGAAAGCCTTTGGGAAGGAACATTCCTGGGAGAGATAGCCCCAGTCCAGGCAGGGAGCACTCCAGCTGGGGGTGGGCAGGGGAAGGCACCCATACTGCCAGGATCAGAAACTGTTCTCTCAATGAATATTTTGGGGTTTTATTCCATTGTCCTGGATTGTCAGTAGGCAACAGGAGATGGAGCATACTCTGGCAGCATATAATGAAAAAATAAACAGCCATCCATTATTCACACGGCGTTGGCTATGTCACCTCCTGCCTTGATGCCCAAGTACTGAGTGACTGTGTTTAGCCTGATTAAACTTCTGAATTTCAACCAGTGCTTTAAGAAGATGCTTGTGGATGCTATTAGTTAGCGAGCAAAGTACAGGAGGTGCATTATCAAAATAACCAAAGGTCAGTTACTCATTCAAAGGATTTGTGAGGCTAGAAAAGTAAAGATAGAAGTGTGAACTGTTCTGATGCTGAGCTTTTTTGTTTTAAGAAACTATTGGGCTATTATGAGGCTGGTGATGCCCAGATCAACCCTTCTCAGTGTCACTGCTGACACACAGGTAGAGCTTTTAAAGCAGACATCCTAAATGCAAAACGAGGGTGTTTACAGGGGCAGTTCCCACTCCAGCCTCCCTGTGGAGCGTTTCCAGGCAGCTCCAGGAGAGCCCCCTTCTTGGAGCGTCACGAAGCACCAGACCAGGAGAAACACAAGCGCTCAAAGGGCATCCTTGCTTGTGCAACCAGCGGGAGGTTGGAGGCCCACACAGGGTTTCAAACCTCCTCACATCGTATGTGACACAAGACACCAAGCTGAAAAACATGCAGAAAAGTCAACAGTTGGGAGAGCAAGTAATTAGTTGCATAAAATGCTATCAGATTTCTTCCCATGGATCAAATGCTTAGACATCTGATTTTTCTCAGGTTTATCTTAGGCAATGTATCGTGGTGACACAGCAGCTACTGCAGAGTAGCCCAAGGAGAGAAGACCACAGAAAAAGGCTCGACAGAAGCCTTCTGTGGAACAACATGCAGGCATAGCTGCAGATTTTCTATGGAAGCAGCTGCAGAGTTGTGAATGAGCAGATGGCCAGCCTGGACATGAACAATTCACCCTCCCCAGTTCCAGCTGGACCTTGTAACGGTTCATTCTTTCATCAGACTTTTCCAGTAACATCACCCGGGTAAGGGCTGCTTAGGAGCAAAACCTGTGTTCCTGTTTCAGCCTGGTTTCCTTCTTTTCCAGCATGGTATTGAAATCTACAGCCTCCACATGGACTGTAAGGTCACATCACGATTCGCTCACACCCTCATCACCAGCAAAATTGTCAACCGAGCTAATGAGTCCAGAGAGGCCACCTTTGAAGTGGAGTTACCCAAGACAGCCTTCATCACCAACTTCTCCATGTAGGACCAGTCCTTACCTGTGGTGTGAAGGAGGCAGCTCTGGGGACTGGGGGTGCTTTTATCTTTTTTTTTTCAGGGGGTACTGAGAAAAGAGCACAATGAGCTGAGCTCTGGAGCATCCTGCACAAAACACTCTGTGAGGCAAAGCAGTAGGCAGCCGAATAGAAGTCCTTTCCAGCCCTATCTATTCTATAATTCTATAAGGCAGAGAGGGCAAGGGTGCCTGCTGCCACAGGGTAGATGACAAACATGCTCAGTGGTGGTGTTCCTCCTGCTCCAGCCTCCCTGAGACCCTGCAAGGAGGAGGGCTGTGTTGTGGTGGTGGCTACTGACATCCTCTGGATAGAGTGGGATGTGGGAGCCAAACAGTACCCCTTGCTCATGCCCTGAGGGCTATGAAATGCAGAACTCCTCTTGTTGCTTTCCTAATGTTAATTATTTTTTATGGCAACCAAACAGGTCCATCGATGGTAAAGTATACCCAGGAATAATAAAGGAAAAAGCTTCTGCTCAAAAGGAGTATAACACTGCAGTCTCACATGGGCAGAGTGCCGGCCTTGTCAAGTATGTTGCTGCCCTGAGTAATCCTGCTCCAATGCTCTTCCTTGGCTTCTCCCTCAGCTGGGGGAGCCAGGATTTAATGTGATAGGGATAAATGTGAAAAGCAGCCTTGGGTTCTTGTTGGGAGGGACTCTGTGTGTGTGTGTGTGTGTGTGTATGTTCACACATGTATATGATTTATATCTGATACTGCAATGGGCTTCAGTGGGAGGTGTCACTATTTAGTGTTCCTCTGGCACTTGCCATCATGCAGGACCACCTTGTTGGTCTGGGATGGTGCTCAGTCATTGAGACTGCTTCCCCGCAAGCATAGGGGACCATGGTACTTGAGCAGATGTCAGACTTTTGGGATACATTTAATCTCTGCTTCCCATGTATTCATTCCCAGTTCTACTTGATCCCAGTCTGCTTTATTTCTGCTTCATTTCTCAGCTTGCATATGCAGCAGCCATGGCATGCTATTGTAATATATGTGATGTATACAGTACTGCAGGCAATGTGAAAAGTCTTTATATGATGAATAGGATTTACTGCTACTCTTTCTTTTTTATTATTCCATGTGGCCCCTTGGTCATTATTTAGCACAATTCATAAACTTTGGCCACCACAAGAAAACCTTCACTTTAGGAGGTAAATCTCTGTTTGCCCCCCCTGCAGAATCACAGGCAGAAAGCTGGAGCAGTTTCATGTGTCTGTCAGCATCGCAGCTGCCAGCAAAGTCACTTTTGAGCTGACATATGAGGAGCTGTTGAAGCGGCAGCTGGGGAATTTCGAGCTGCTCATCAAGGTCCGACCGAAGCAGCTTGTGAAGCACTTCCAGGTGAGCTGTCCTCCCGTGAGGGCTGGGCAGGGAGCAGTGTGGTGGCTCTGGGCACAGCTGTGTTCCCTCTGATGCTGACTTCTCCACTGGCAGATTGATGTGCACATCTTCGAGCCACAGGGCATACGCTTCTTGGAGACAGACAGCACGTTCATGACAAATGAGTTAACTAAGGTGCTCACCAAAGTGCAGAACGAAACCAAGGTAAAGCAGTCACTGCCAGATGTTACTGCCAGTGGCAGCTTTAAGATATGTTGCTTTACATCTTTTTTTCTGATTGCTTGCAGGCTCGTATTTTATTTAAGCCAACTGTAGATGAACAGAAGATAAATCCTGAATTTGATGAAACCCTCCTCAATGGTGATTTTGTTGTGCGTTATGATGTTAAGAGAGATGCCACTGCAGGTGATATACAGGTGAAAAATCAATAGAAATAAAAATGTTTTAAGATCACAGATATGTCTGAATGTGAAGTGCAATCAGAAAAACAGCAACAGTTACTTTGAAACACCAGGAGTGACAGGAAAAGCTATTTTCATTAATCCAGGGTCTGCAGGAACTGGTAGCCATAGTCAGTAAATCCCCAAAGACACCAGGCACAATGCAGGAATGGGTCATCCATTAAAAAAAAAAAGAATCAGGCTTTCAAATTTTGATTCCATACCAAATCTGCTCATTATAGATGTCTCTCTACATTCTGTTTTTATTATTTTGGCTGACCTAAGGTGTATTTGTAGCTTCTTGTAAATAAAGTTTAGAGGGATGTGCTTTATGTCACTATTGAAATGACTGCTTGATTTATTTTTTATGACAACTGAGGCATAACTAAAGAGGCCAGGAACTTGAAAATATTTATGGGCCACTGCATATCCTGGGGAACAAAGTACACTATTTTGCATACCATTTCACTAATGAACTATACATGGATGTGCTAAAAGATGGCAGTCAATGAGCAGAGATGTGCTCATAGGTGATAATCAAGAAGTAACATACAGTAATAATACAGATATACATATGGCAGAGGTGTATAATACATATATGCACTGCCCTCTCTTGTAATCTGCTTTCCACAGGTAGTCTTGCTTCCAGCTAGGGAAATATATTTTAATAGTTCTTTGATTTGAGCTTATCTAGAAGAACAGAACACTGAGCATGCATCCCCCTTCTGGCTATGCCAGAATCTGAAGATGCAATATTTCACAGTATCACAGTATCACAGTATGTTAGAGATTGGAAGGGACCTCAAAAGATCATCTAGTCCAATCCCCCTGCCAGAGCAGGAACACCTAGATAAGGTTACACAGGAACGTGTCCAGGCGGGTTTTGAATGTCTCCAGAGAAGGAGACTTTAGTTAGTTAGATGAAATTTTATACATGATTTTCCATTCTGTATTTCAGATTGTCAATGGGTATTTTGTGCATTACTTTGCACCCCAAGAAATGCCAGTGTTTCCCAGAAATGTCGTCTTCATTATAGATCGAAGTGGCTCCATGGCAGGCAGAAAAATTGAACAGGTAATGTACCTCACAGTACTGATCCCTACTTGTGTCCGTCACACACAGCAGCCTTTGGAGGAAGCAGCTGTGAATCTCACTTCAGAAATACACACTGGTTTTGTAGACAACAACATTTTCAGACATAGAGAAACACTTGAAAAGTGCACAGATTTGGGCTATTAAAGAGCAACACTTTTCTGATATGGCTGTTCTCACAAGTATCAAACATTTAGGCAGAGAGCATTTTTTCTGTATCTTTGCAGAATGATAATATCTAATTTTTTTTAATTAGTTTTAAAGAATCCGTTTGTCTGGTTTACCTTTCTTGATGACTGTGCGTGTAGCTTTGCTAGGGAGCAGACAAGCCCATTACAGCCCTCATAGGTGTTTGTGTTTGCAAGTTAAGTGAATCAGACACTTCTGGTGTTCTCAACCTGAAAAATGCCATTGCGACTACATAAGAGCATTGGTCTGCATCTCAAATAGTGCTGTTGAGAAACCCCCTTATTACACAGCAATTCCAATCCTGGTTAAGTAGTAATACTCAAAGTGACTGTTTTCTCCTTGGAACAGACTAGGGATGCCCTGCTGAAGATTTTACAAGACCTCCGCCCAGAAGATCGTTTCAGCTTTATCACCTTTAACAGCAAAGTGGTGGAGTGGAAGACCTCTTTGCTGCCAGCCACTGCAGAGAACGTGGCAAGTGCTGCAGGATTTGTGCAAACCCTTTCTGCTAGTGGAGGTACAAGGCACCACCGAGATGCTTGTAACCACAGCCTGTCACTCAACATAATATATTGCTTAGAAAAACAAGTATTTTTATTAATTGTATACTGGCACAGAGCTGCCATAAGTGTTCATAAAGCAAGTAAGTATTTTAATAGTTATGAGTGGGAGAGAAAGACTGGACATGGGAGTGGACAGTTGGGTGACTACATTGTGATATGGATAAAGAGAGACGGTTGCATCAGATCTATGAACCGTACAAGCCACAAAGTTTTGTTTCAGATTTTTAGAACAGAGGTGGCTGGAAGATTTCCCAATAGTACCTTTTTTTCCTACAGGAAAATGCAATTCAGTCAATATTTGACAACAATTTGCTGGTTTTGTTTTTGGTTTTTTTTTGTTTGTTATTTAATTATCAAGGGTCCCCTTGTAAAATAAAATGCATGCAAAGTCATACACCTGTGTAAGCCACACTACAGAAACAAACCAACCAAAATAGGCATGAAGCATTTTAACTGCTGCACAACTCAGTGTGCCCTGTTTTATTTAGTTTTAAGCACACCTAAAGGCTCTATCTCCTGTTAATGTTATCCTATTGGTATTTATGTAGGGTTTTTTATCCCAGGTGTGAACAGCACCAAAGCCATCTGTGCACAGCTCTTTTCTCTGACTTCTCAAATAAGAGACAGTTCTGAAAAGTGGGTTGACAGATGACAGTGTATTTATTTAAGCACTTTCTAATGGCTCTAGACATGTTTGTATTTCCCATGACATATGTGTGGAAAACGATCCCAGAAGAACACTCAACCATTGTCACTGCAATATAATACACTGTAATTAAGCCGAGTAGGCTGAAGCCCTGAATCCTAATCTCTCTGAAGGATTACTTCCTGCAGAAAACTTTAGATAACTCTGCAGGGCCTCTGTGGATAAGGTGCACTGATTTCTTCAGATGATCTTTCCAGGTGAGTGATGCTTGATTTCTCATTATAGGCACAGATATCAATCATGCCCTGCTGACTGCTGTGAGTGGGCTGGAGAAAACTGAGGGGCTGCCGGAACGGAGTGTCTCCATGATAATTTTGCTGACGGATGGCTAGCCCACTTCTGGTGAGTAAATACTAGCTCAGTTCTTTCTCTCCTGGGTTTGTTATATCTTTTACACTTGCATCCCAGCATGGAAGATGTAGCCTATGCTTCAAAAGAGTTTTGTTATAAGTAGGCTGGGTCATTTCTGGATCTGTGTTCGAGAGAGGACGATTATGACAGGGCTATGGCAAGGGCTGTAAGAAGTGCCCACCCATGACTACATGTCATTTAGCTGGGAAGAGTTTTGGTAAATACCATTGGTTTCCCAGTTTATAAACTTGAAGGAATTGTTGGAGATACTCCAGGCATAGCTGAAAGGTGAAAGTAAAATACTTACAGCCAGAGCAAATACATAGACATTTTGCATGCATTATGTATGGTGCCATTTGAGAGGCATTGCTTATGCTTTTTCACCCCCCTTGACCCAAACTTGAGATATTTTCAAGGGGTCTCTTGTTTTATATTCTTTTCTATGTCTAGCTCTTAACTAGTAATTAGCTGTGATAGCACAAACCAGAGGGTTGAGATAAAAACATTGCACTAAATAAACAGTAACTCCCAATGCAATGGCACAAACATCGCTTGTTCTGAACAGAAGCTGGTCTGTTTTGTGTGGCAAGCAGTATCTCTTCGAGTCCAGTAATATTAATTCAGTTGTAAGCCTTCTAATAAGAACATTCTGCCTTTCACATCATGTGATCCTTACTGGTTTAGTGTCAGTTTATTTGTTTCAGGTTTTTTGTTAGATATAATTCATCTTATGGTGCTGCCTACTCAGCACAGCCACAGTGTGTCTCAAGTATTCCCAGGCACATCACACATGCACAAGCTGGCTAGAAATCAGGCCAATGTGGAATGCCAGGTGAACACATACAGTGTTATTGCATGCATTGCTTTCCTTGGTAAGGCAGGCTGAAAGGGAAAAAATCTGAGCTGCTCCCATAATACTGCTACAGGCAGTTCCTGCCTGGAAGTGCTGATAGAGAAGCTTTCCATACAGGGCCCTCAGTGGCTCTTCAAATGGGATGAGATGATGGCATGAAAATCTTTTCCCTTTGTCAGCAAAAGGGCTGAGAGAGGAGCATGGCTGAGTTAATTGGCAGTTTGTGTGAATTACACCATTAACCAGGCCATTCTTCTCTGAATTGATGTGCATAATTTTTATGGATGGTACTTGTCTTCCCAATGCTTGATCAAGTGTTTCCATCCCTTGCTCTGTTGATTTGTAGAGTGTGTCCCTTTTGTCCTAAAAACTTCCTCTGGCCCTCATAATCTTGTAAAATAATTTGCACTTACTCATGACAACATGAGTAGGAGTTAGTAAAAGTCATTAAGGGGGGAGAATGAGGTTCTGGCACTCCATATGCAGAGTGATGCTTTCATCTTCAACTCAGTTACTGAAATTCTGTCCCATATATTTTCAAGATTTTATTCTGAATAATTTCTAAAAGGCTTTAGGAAGAGTTTTCCATTAAACCCGCTGCTGTCTTTTTCTACTTTTTAAAAACCCAACCACACAAGTGTATATTTTTGTTTCAATTCCAGGTGAGAGTAATGTGGAAGTTATTGAAGAAAACATTCAGAAAGCAGTCAATGGGAAATATGCGCTCTTCTGTCTTGGCTTCGGGTTTGATGTCAGCTATAAGTTCCTGGAGAAAATGGCCCTAAGCAATGGGGGGATAGCACGTCGTATATATGAAAATGCTGATGCAGCCTTGCAGCTCCAGGTCAGGACTAAGGAATATGCTAAAAAAAAATCCCATTTATCAGCTGTGGCTTATGTCTTAGAATATTTTCTGAGATAGAGAGTTGGAGTTCAGTTTATCTGATGATTTTGGGGAGGGAGGGAAGCAGTTTGGCAGCATCTGAGGGTTTGTACCTTAACCATGATTCAAGTTGTCCTCAAATGCGTTTGGACAAACCTGGGAACTCACACATTTCTGTACCTCTGAAAAAAGACTGATTGTCCAGGGGAGGTGATGCTAAGAAAACATCTGTTCTTGGATCCTATTCTAAACCCCTTGAAGCTCCACCATTGGAAGCTGTTTGCTATGGTTTCCCTAGAGCTCAGCAGGTAGTCTGAGGCACATACAGGCAAACTGGCTCTGCAATACCACCAGCCTGGATCTTTCCTGTCCATTTGGAGAGGTGTTATAACTTCAGAGATGTTCTCTTTTTTGGGAAGCCAATTCCACCTGTTTTGCCTGGATTTGCTTCATGCCAGCCCCAGTACAGAGAAAGATTCATCCTCAGGATTAATCAAGTTTAAAAAAAAATCAGAGTTCAAAAGGGCTAAAGCAAAACACCTGACTGAACGGGATGGGGATCCTGGTTGGATATTTGAATTACTATGAGAAGTGTTCATATGGCATCTCAAGCCTGGTTAGAGAAGGTGCGCTGAACTTTGGGAAGAAATATGTATGGGGTTTTTCCTAGCAGCAGTCCTATACTGCTGAAGGAAAAGCTTTGTTCCCTTCTTTTTAAAGGGGTTTTAGACATTCGGTATATTGTTCTGCGTAATTTTGCAGTCATGTGCGTGCTCTCTCTCTGCTTCTCTTTAGGGATTTTATCAAGAGGTGGCTACCCCAATATTAAAGCAAATTGAAATGCAGTATCCAGGAAATGCCATTGAGGGATTAACAAAGAATGATTTCAAGCTGGTTTTTGAAGGATCTGAAATTGTTGTATCTGGAAAAATTAGCAATGAGCTTGATCTTTTTCCAGTAGAAATTAAAGCTCAGTCAGTAAGTGCTTAGTTTACTAACTGTGAAAAATGTATAACCCTTCTGTCTTTTATAGTTCACTAGAAGACTTCAGGAAGTCTTTAGTGTGCAGTACATGTTCTCTGCATTTGGGCATTGTGCTGCTTTCCTATCTGGGGAAAATGCTTGAGAATTCAGGAAATTTTCTTCTCCTGAATTTAAAGCAAAATAAAAACCTTGAAGTAGATCCACAAATAAGCAAACAGTAATTTTAATCCTTTCAAAACTATAATATTTTGGCCTTTCAAGCATTTTTAGGAACTGGTTTGTATTTTTAGATTAAAGAAGGAAATATTAATTAATCATCTCAAAAATAATGAAATAGAACCATTTCATTACCTTCTTTTTTCAACACTGTTTCAAGTTCATAAATATAGATCCAAAATACATGCTGCTTTTGTAGTTTGGGGTTCCATTTTTCAATGGGAAAGGACAAAATTGAAGGACAAAAAGGGCACTTTGGTACTGAAAGATGTTATTTGAAGTCTAATAATGTGATTTTAAAAGAAATCTGCAACTCTTCTTTTGACAGTCAGTTTTCTCCCACTTTAGCATTCTAGTGACTTGACTCTTAAGGAAGAAGCAAATGTCAAAGAGAAGGAGCAAGTATTTCAAAATCAAAGTTACATCTTTGGAAATTTCATAGAGAGACTGTGGGCTTACTTAACCATTCAGCAGCTGCTGGAAAAATCGTTAAGTGTCTTCCTGCTTCCTATTACAAATTTCTAATTTAAAATACAAATGAAAGATCCACAAAGAAATATTTCTGTAGATAGTATTAAGAACATAGTACACTGGAAGAATACTACATGCCTGTATGAGGAACATGAGGTGCCTTTCAGTTTATGACAGCCCTGTATCATTAAACATGCATACATAGGTGTATATACACATACGAAAATGTAATAGAAAATATTCTTCTTGACATTACTCTGAAATACATGATATGAATATGAAAAAGAATCTGAAGATGAACTGCTCATAGTCTGTATATGTTATTTCTTCATTATTAATACCGACTTTAGTATTTCAGCACAAGAAGAGGACCAGAAAAGCCTGGAGGCTCAAACATTAGAGCTGTCTCTGCGGTACACCCCTCACTTCCATGGTGGTCACCAAACCAGCTGACCAAGAGCAGAGAGGCCTGGCAAACAAACCCACTGAAGCTGGTAAATGAGGCATCAAACAGTCCCTTTCAAATATGGTGCTGTTTTTGAGGATTTGTTGTTGACCTCCAGTATTAGGTTCATTTTCTAGTGATATGACACAGTAATAAGCCACATTGGAGACAGGATTTCAAGGACTAGCATCCTTTCAGATAAAACATACAGGATTCGTTTTAAAAGGTGAAGTGGTGAAATGGGCACTCTTGTTGAAATGGAAAATAGTTTGTTTAAATATTAATTAAAAGTAATGTAACAGCTGGTACTCAGCATTCCTGCCACTGCCACTCTTCTCTGTAGCATTAAAGTAGGAAAGTGAATGCAGGGGAGGAAAGCATGTTACCACTTGCAAGTGCTCTTTCTGCCTTTAACACACATAAAAGCTCATCTCCTGAAGCCCAACACCTGCTTGTCCCAGTTTTCTGGTTTGCACATCGGTAAAGTAATTGACTGTTGACTGTATGACACTAATCTGTTCCTTTTCTTTGTGTTAGATAATGAGAAGTGCAACAGTGTTCCAGTAGGAGGTAAATGTTTTCTTCTTTTTCCAGTAGCATATTTCCATAATAGTCTCTAATGAAATTAAAAAAAGAAGCTTGTGTTTGTTTATAGAGGTGATTATCTGAGATTTAAAATAATATATGAAGCAAAACGTAAGCAATGACTGCCATGGTCTGTGTGGGGTTTGGGTAGATAGCATGGACAAAGGGAGAAAATTTTCCATTCAGAAAGTCTGTAAGGTCAAAATTATCTTTACTTATGAGGATAAGTAGTTCTTCAAGTGAATGGTGCTGATGATGCTTCTGCTTCTTCCTACTGTGTGCCAAGCATCTATCAGAAAATTAAGCTCAAGATATTTTGGAATGAGTTAATGAGTTCTGAGGATGATTTAGGTTAATGTTTTTCTCTTTTTTTGGAAATAATAGATCTGTTTGACTATAAATTTTGAACTTCCAGCATAATTAATCTGATAATCTCAGCTACGATAATATATCATAATGGCAATGCTTTTATAGATGAGAAGCCCTGGTTTTGCTCTAGTTCTTTCACAGTAATTTACTAAGGGTATTACAGTGCAGCTCTGTTCTCTGAAGGTAACCTGTTTCAGAGTGGCACTAGGGAGTTTTATAGCAGAAAACTCCTTGACCAGAAGCATGGCCCAGGGACCATCCTGCCCTGCTCAGGCACCAAAAGTCCCCCATCCCCATGTGAAGATGGGTGAGGGCCCAGGCATACTAGTGGCAACCCTTTTAGCTAATCCTTTCCTTATAAAGTTCTTAGTAGTTTTTGTCCATTTCTACCCTTTGGCTGGTAATATTTTGCAGGTATCAGTGTTAATGTTCGGTGGACCTCATTACTGCAGATAGTTTATGCTGGGAAAGGAAGGCAGCTGGAGAATTACACATTTGATGTTTGAAACAGTCCCATAGGGTATGTAATACCATCATGGATAAAATATAGATACTCTCTTTTTTTTCTCCAGATGCTTACAAACTGAGGAGTGCATCACTTCCTGGTAAGTGCTTTTCATTTGTTTATATTCAGAATAATGTTATCAAGTTCATTTAGTATGTAGTTTGATAGCAATATTCCTTTAATAAGTATTCTTTGATTGTGGATGCCCACTTGATATACAGTTGAGGTTTTATTATATGTATTTCAGTCTGCAGATATTTTGTAATTAACTACAAACTTTTGAAAACAATCTTGATCCCTTTCCAGGGAAACAATCTGGTCCTTTTTCAGAAATAAAAAAAACATTATAACTTCTGAAAATAAGTGTAAAAGATCTGGAAAAGCATATACTAGTAAGCTGGATAGAGCCTTGGGCAACATGGTCTAGTGTGAAGGCACCCCTGCCCATGGCAGAGGGGTTGGAACTAGATGATCTTAAGGTCGTTTCCAACTCAAACCATTCTGTGATTCCATGAAGGAAATGGGCATCAAAAAAAAGTAATATTTACCATCCCGGGGTTTGCGATGTGAAGCCAGTGTGGGGCACAATGGCAATGCCTGTCCTGCAAGGGGGAAGTCCCAGGGTGCTGCAGGAAGAGCTCAGCCTCTCCAAAAGCTCCCATAGTGCAGAGCTTGCGCTGTCTGCTGTCCTGCATAGGATCTTCACATTTGCACATCCAAAAAAGCCAGTGGGCAACCAATGGGAGATTCCCTGTGTTAAAGGGTGGGGAGGGAGATACAAGGCATGGCCCCAGACCAACCAAACATTGGAAAAACCTTTTATTTCAGGTCAATGGTGCTCTGAGCCCCAGTCTGGCGGCAACAAGAAGCTGTTGTCAGTAGGTAGTTATTCACAGTTGTGTGCCAAGAGGAGCTGGGGTGGGTGTGCTGTGTTCAATGTAGTAGCTATGTCCCAGTGTTGATCCTATGAGAAGTAGGCATTGGATGTTGTGCTTTTTTTCCCCATTGGTACAACTTGTTTGAAGCAAAGCTCTCCATAGAAGTCAGTGAAGAGCTCTGCTGTAAAGGCTTCTGTCATAGTGTTCTTCCTGGTGAATTAATTAACTCAAAGAAAAATGTTTCATTAAACTCTTCTTATTGAGAAGAGTTAATAAACTTCATAATAAGGGGAAATTATTACTCATAACATAATAATTTTAAGTATTTCAGTTGCCAGGCAAAGAAAAACAATGAGAGCACAACCTGTTGGTGAGTACTAATGCTAGATATACTAGTTCCTTTGTAATAATTAATGTAACTGTAATGTACAGGTTTTCATCTATTTTTTTTTTCTGCCTGCATCAACTCTATGAAAAACCCCTTTACCTTCATGCAAACCTTGGCTAGTTCTTTCCACATAAGTGAAAAATACCCCATGAGAAAGCCTCTCTGGCACAAGGATATAACCACCAACAGAAATGCAATATAATGTATCTTCAACCTTGGCTTTTTTAAGAGCTCGTTGACTTTAATAAACTCTAAGTTTAAAAATCTGTCACTTTCATTCATATCAAGGTGCTGTGCCTGGGTGTGCTCTTCAATAATCATTACTATGTTGATTTTAACCATTCTATTCCATAGAAGTTAAAACTAGTGTTTTAGGTATGAATTGACTATGTAATTTTGCTGTGCCTATCCAAAGGGAACAGGTTAGAGTTTTCTTTGCATGCTAACGTTGTTCTTCTGGCTTTTCAGTCAATGTACATTCACAGCTTCTCTTCCAATTACCCAAACAAAATGAAATAGTCTGTTTAAATACTGATGGAAAAGCCCAGCCCTCTGTCAACCTGCTCTCAGATCCGGAGCAAGGTGAGTGAGCCCCATTACTCTTGATATCAAGGACAAGGAGAATCACTTTGGTCTATGAGAGTAGTTGGTGTTTTTGGGAATCACCCCCTTTTGTGAAGGATGGTGTCACACCTGCTGCTTTGCAGTGATCAAAGAGGCTGTGGTTAATTTTTCCTTTCTATTAGGCAATATCAACTTCCACTGTGCAACAGCTGAGGGCACTTCTCACGGTCTACTTGGCGGTCACCTCCTTCTGCTGGTGTCACAGCCATTGTCTTTAGGGTTTCCTGCTGCCCAGCCTTTGGGGGCTTCCTAGGATGTAGAGACCTTAAACCCTGCGGTCCCTACCTGCTAATGGAAAGATGCATACTCTTTACAAACTGCAGTTTTTCTTTGGTCCTGTGCTCAGAAGGGCCATGGACTCTGGTGATCCCACTGCAGTCTTTGGCCACATGGAGCTGAAGCCTGCAGTACTGTGCCTCCCAGAACTAGGTTTGAGACCCTGAATGTGTTTCAGCAACAAAGCTGAAGCAGCTTTATTGAGATCACTCATATCTTAAAAGCACCGTCACTTGACAATTTTTTGTTGATGTCATTAAAGGACTCACTCTGATGGGGAAACTTGGAGACAGAACAAATCACTTTGTGCAGTTTGAAATCAACTATGTGAATCCCCCTGCCCAAATCCACGTCTCTACAGATGCAATTGTCCTGCGCCACAATAATGAGAGCAGAGCACTCGGCTGCCATGGACAGAGTTGGCCACCTCCACCATCCAGGGGTAAGAAACATCACCCTGTCCTTTCCCAGACTTGACAGTGTGTCAGATCTTTCTTCACACAGGCCTCTGCTTTCATGTTTGCTTCAAATAAGTGCTTCCAAATGTCCTATCCCATGAGTAACTCATGAGTGGAAGTAGGGTACCTTCACAATCCTCCATTTCAAATACAGAGAACAAAAAAAGGGTTGATTTTAATTCTCTATGCCTGTGTAATAGAATCAGACAACTGCACTTTCAGCCTGCCTTTCTGCTTTGACATCAGGGGCAGAATATTTATCTTCCAAAGGAAAGGACCCACTGTGGCACATAGCAGCCCCTGTGCCACTGCCATGCCAGCTGCCACCAGAGACTTTGTGTGCCTCCAGCTGCAGAGTGAGTGCTGCAAAGTGATGGCTTTAACATTCACTGTCTCTTTTTATTTATCAGTTGGCTCCACACAGGCTGAAGGGTTTTTTCCCCTCTGTTTTAGCAGCAACTCACACCTGGCCAGCTAACCTTTTTTATGGAAAGGCAGAAAGTGTTTGAATAGCTGTCTGTAACTAAATGCCCACTGTTGAAGAGAGTACTTTAAATGTAGAATTTATTGTTGAACTAATTAGAACAGGATCCTTCACCACCACAGGAAAGAGTAGAATGTAACTAGTTCCACCAACTTTTTGCATTGCTGGAATAAACCTCTGAGGGGATCTGCTGTTAGTGTGGGGCACAGGATACACAGCACTCCCTCCCTTACAAGCCATTCTAGACAATAACAGAAGTCCTAAACCAACTACTTTCAACTATTTTTGAATCCAAAAGGAGCCAAGGACATGTTGGGTTTCTGCCCCTGTATAGTTTGTTGTCTGTCAAGCAGAATGATCCTCCTGCTTCAAACCAGCACCTTTGCAATTGCAACGCTTTGTACACCAGCATATATAGGGGTGTTTGTATCTAACCTGGTCTGCTGGGGAGAAAACTGCAGTGAATGTGTGTGTTCTGCAAGCCCACCTGGGTCATAAAAACTGAATGGCTTAGAAGAAAGGCAAGGTCTGAAAAAACCTCTGAAATAGCCAAGAGAAAAGAATTGGACTTGTTGATAAAATAAATTGAATCATTTTATTTGGTCTCATTAATATGATAAAAAGTATTTTGTTTTTTTCTGTCCAAGTATTTCTTGTCATTATGAATAATAAGGTGTTTTCATCAGCAACAAGTTTTTGTCTGGTATATTTGTATGTAACCTGATATGAAAAACATCTGTTGTGCAGCATAAGAGAGAAAAGATTATGCCACTTAATATTTTCCAGCTTAAAAATAATCACCAACTGATCATGAAAAATGCAATTGCAAGGAGGCATAATACATAATTATTTTAATTAATGAATGACTATCTAAATACAGGTTTTTCTTCATTTTCTTCTTGGAAATAATGTCATTATTTACTTCCCAGGCTGAGCATCTCGGTTGAAAAGGAAAGGAGCGTTACAGCATCATTGTCTGATACAGTCACGGTAAAAATTTCCCTTATAAAGTTTCCAGAGGATTTCCTTGGGCTGCATTTCCTGAACACTGACCATTTTTCTGACAAAGTCAGCGGAGCTCTGGGTATGCATCAGTACAGATGTGTGCTACAAAGAGTGATCTTGTAACTAAGCTCCTGAAGTGAAAATATTGGGGGGAGGGGGCGGTTCAGCCACATCATAAGCCCTTATTCAGACTTTACTTCCCTGGGTCCTCACCAGCTCTTATGAAAAGCAGTGGGCAGGCAAGGCAGCAGGAATGCTGTAATTCCGGGGGTTCCAGAGAAGCTTTATATTTAATTTATTCTTTTCAGGCATCTAACATCACCTCTCACTGCACAGTAGACCCTGCTCTGCAAGAGGGGAGGTTTTACGCTGGAAACATAACATAGTACTTTTCTACTGACTATGATTGGTTTAGAATATGTTACAGTAAGACTAAAATAATAGTTGGGCTTAACCTTAACAGTGCTGTGGAATGACATAATTTATGTAGCACATTCACTTGATGTCAAATAGTGGACTATAAATAATGGACATTAAATTGTAAACAGTCAGGGTTAGAAAATGAAAGCCAGCTGGTGCCGAGCATCCCAGCTTCAAAAATCCTGGTGGCACTGAAGTTGCAGTTGTTTCAAAAACTTCACAGACAGAGAGGCTGCATATTCTAAACCCACAAAACCCTGTGAAAACCCATCAGAGTGAGGCTGAATCTCTCTGTGGAGGAGTGTTAGGGATAACAGATCACAGCTGAAACACAGGAATGTTCTTATCTTGCTGTGGGAGCTTCTAAGTGTTACAAATGTTTTGTTGGTTTGTTTTCTGGGGCAGCAAGCTGCTTTCTTGGTGTTACAGTTGTCATTTGGGTTAAATGAACAGCAATTTTCAGAGTTTTTCCTATTTTAAAATAACTTGTGTCTGTTTCTTAGGTCAACTTTATTCAAAAGCACAATTTGAGAGTAATTCCAACATGAATCAGAGAGCTGACGAAAGACTCCTCAGTGGACTTCAGCAAGGCTTTAGACACTGTCTCCCTTGGCATCCCCCTGGGCAAGCTCAGGAAGTGCTGGCTGGACAAGCAGATGATGAGGTGGATTGAGAGCTGCCTGAATGGTGGGTCTCAGAGGGTTGTGGTCAGGGGCACAGTCTAGTTGGAGACTGTAACTAGTGGTGTTCCCTGGGGGTCAATAGTAGGTTCAGTCTTGTTTAAGTTATTCGTCAATGACTTGGATGAAGGGATAGAGTGCCTCCTCAGCAAGTCTGCTGACGATACACTGGGAGAAGTGGCTGATACCCTAGGGTGCTGTGCTGTCCTTCAGAAGGATCTAGACAGCCTGGAGAGATGGGTAGATGGGGATAGGGGGCACGCAGAGATCATAACCAAATAAATGCCAAATAAAGTAAGGTTCTGCTGCCTCCTGGGAGGGTGTTTCCTCAGCTGCATTTACCATGAGAAAAAATGTTTACACCTCAGTTGCTTTTAGCAAGTTTCTGCGGTGTGGAAGAAATGCTGTGAGTGCGCAGCTTCTGTCCCTGTGCCCCCGTCACCACCACCTCCAGTGCTGGGAGTGGAAAGGTCCTCACTGGGCCACGTGGGCCTCTGGTACAATCTGCAAGCATAAAGTCAATTCTGGGCCTGCTCTCTGATCATTTTATCCCAAATTTTGTTTGCTTTGATTCTTTTTCAGGCAGTACAAGAACGATTAGAGCCTTGAGTCGGCCAGTGAACCTGTTTCCTGCTGGTCAATAGATCTAACTCCCTAGAAAAGAGTATTCTGGGAAAGAAAACTATGCAAATGATGCTCTTCCAAATACTTTTTCTCATCAAGAAAACCACACAGTTAAAGCCTTACCTGTTACTGCATACAAATGTCACAAATCTTTTACCTTGAAATAATTACGCTTTCAAGATGAGAATGCGCTTGCTTGTTATTTTAAACTGGTTCATAATACTCAATGGGATTATGTTGCTGAAGATTTATGTGAATGGACTGAATAAAATCATCAGCTCTCAGTCTGATATGAACACATGGACTTAGGTTTCCAACTAAAAACAAGTAGTGGCATCACCCAGCCCAACAATTTGTCAAATAAATCCACAAATATGTCATGCAGACAGTAATAGATTTCTAAAACATACACTCTTGAGGAAGTTACAACTGATAATGCTCTTGAACTGTGTGTTTTGGAAAGTTTAGAGCAGGATTAGTTTACCATTTATCTCTTTATTTTATGGGGGAATGGGGGAAACCCCAGTCTTGCTGTGTTAAGGTTCTTCTAGAGATGGGTTTGTAACAACATTGAAAGACGATGAAATTAGCAGTAGACACATAGAGGGGAATGTGACCCGCTGTGGCTGCAGTCCCACTTGTCATAGCAGAGTTCCAGAGGCTGTTTTACAAACACTTGCAGAGCAGAGACTTGTTGCAGAGCAGCCCCTGACTTGACGTCAGTTCTGATGTCCTCAACATAAAAAGGACATGGATCTGTTGGAACAAGTCCAGAGGAGGCCACGAGAATGATCAGGGGCTGGAGCAGCTCCTGTATGAAGATAGGCTGAGAAGGCTGGGGCTGTTCAGCCTGGAGAAGAGAAGGCTGCGTGGAGACCTCAGAGCAGCCTTCCAGTATTTGAAAGGGGCTTATAAGGATGCTGGGGAGGAACTCTTCATTAGGGACAGGACAAGGGGTAATGGGTTAAAACTTAAACAGGGGAAGTTTAGATTAGATATGAGGAAGAAGTTTTTTACTGTTAGGGTGGTGAGGCACTGGAATGGGTTGCGCAGGGGGTTGTGAATGCTCCATCTCTGGTGGTGTTCAAGGCCAGGTTGGACAGAGCTTTCTGTGCCATGGTTTAGTGTGAGGTGCCCCTGCACATGGCAGGGGGGGTTGGAAGTGGATGATCTTAAGGTCCTTTCTAACCCTAACTATTACAGAATCACAGAATCCCAAGGGTTGGAAGGGACCTCAAAAGATCATCTGGTCCAACCCCCCTGCAAGAGCAGGGTAACCTAGAGTACATCACACAGGAACTTGTCCAGGTGGGCCTTGAGTATCTCCAACATAAGAGAATCCACAACACCCCTGGGCAACCTGTTCCAGTGCTCTGTCACTCTCACAGTAAAGAAGTTTTCCCTGATGTTCACATGGAACCTTCTATGCTCCAGTTTACACCCATTGCCCCTTGTCCTAGCACTGGACATCACTGAAAAAAACCTAGCTCCACCATCCTGACACTCACCCTTTACATAGTTGTAAACATTGATGAGGTCACCCCTCAGTCTCCTCCAAGCTAAAGAGACCCAGCTCCCTCAGCATCTCCTCATAAGGGAGATGTTCCACTCCCTTAATCATCTTTGTGGCTCTGCACTGGACTCTTTCAAGCAATTTCTATGATTCTATGATCATGAGCAGGTTGACCAGTTTGAAAGGCAAGAGATTATTTCTGTTATAAACGAACTTGGTGTTTGGATTAGATTCTGTTGATGCTGGGTTTTATCAGTGGACTTACTGCAAATTAGAAGCTCCCTGCTTCTAGTTATAGGGTGTCTCCATGTCAGTGGTAGGAGTAAAAGTTTTATCTAGCTAACTAAGCCATCTGTCTGCTACTCTCTCCCCTTATTGTTACCTGTAGTTACCTTGCCAGAATCTTGGAAGAACTACATATTAAAAGGGGATTTTTCTATCTCTAGTGTAAGCAGGAGTGCCTCAGCCTGTGCAGAAGCAATGCTGAGCAGACTCCAGCCCCTGAGGTCAGCTTCTGGCTGACAATTCAGTCATGGCCAACAAGGCTCCAGCCACCTCTGGAGATCTGCCTCATCCCTATGTATTAAGAGAGCAAAGCTGTAGCTGAGCCTGTGCCGGGTGTTGCTGTGTGCATGAACTTCGCTCATTTTTCAGTAATTTTAAACTTTCTGTAGAAACTACTGTTTTCCTTCATCACTTCTGCTGAATTCAGCAGGCAGAGACATCTACCCACTGTGGCACTCCCCCCTCCCTTCAAGAATTGATTTTTTTTTTCTTCTTCTGCAAAATTTCTTCTTCTGGAGAAGAATTTTGTCCCTGGAGAAGGCCTGCCTCTCCCAGAAATATAACAGTAAGTATATTTTTCTTCTATTTTATTCCTCTTTGACTTTTCTGTTGCATTGTTCACATCTACATCTGTTCTTTCAATTTAACCCACCACATCTTATGTCATCTCTGGTTTTCACACTAGATTCCTCTTTCCTTATGTGTGTCTGCATTCTCATTTCCCACATGCAGACTTTCTGTCCTTGTTGTATAATAGGGAAATTTCTAGTTTGCCATTTGAGACCACAGTTACGTTGCTACAGCTGATTAAAGAAATCTCAAGTAAGAAATACGCTTTTTTTTTTTTTTTGCTTTAGAACTAATAGCTTACAATTTCTTCCAGTACAAAATGAATATATAAACAAATGGGACACTTTTTGTCCTGAAACATGCATAAATTCAGTTATGGCAATGGAGGGAGGAATTCTACTGGAAGATTGTAATGGCCTTTCAGTAAAATTTCACAAAAAAAAGATACTGTCCAAAAGACAGGTTCTATTCCTTAAATCTTAGCGCTGTTTGGAACTGTGGCATTTCATTATTTTATAAAGATTTGGGCATTCACAAGTTAGGTTCAAATTAAAACACTAAAATACAGGCATTCTGGATGCTAACAGTCGTGTAGAGCGATGGCCCTGCACCAGCCCTCAGCACCGTGCAGTCAAGTGTTAGTTGGTTTGAAGTACTATAGAATTATCCTGAAATAGATGCTGGCCTGTCAGCTGCCTTCTGCTGAACTTCTAAATGCATCTGATACCCTGGACTTTGGGAAACATTTACAGCTGTTGGAATAATAGGACAAGGCATTAAGTACCAATGCTTTTATTAAAATCACTCCTGACACTCAGTTACTGATTTAAACTTGGGTAGAATGTTTCTGTCATGTTTTACAAAGTCAAATCTTAAGCCAGGATGTTAAAACTAGTAAATGAATTCAGTAAAATGTTTCAGAGGATGAGTGATATCTGTGCACACAAGCAGAATAGCTATTCAGCACTTCAGATTGGATGCACTAAAACTCTCTGTGAGAATCCACCATACACTGGCACTGCCAAACACAGTAAAGCTTGTGTATATTTAGCAGACCTTAAACATTGAAAAACAATTCTTTCAGACAAATACTCCTTATAACCATGAATTTGGAGAAAGTCGTAGCTGTTTAAAACAGACTGGAAACAATATAGTCTGTATGAACACCATCTACCAGCCCAGCTCCGTTGTTATGAACAAACCAGCAAGGGATGTCGACGCCATGCTTTGGATCGATTCTGTAATCCCTCTGCCAGCCCCTGAAAGGAGAAACACCATCATGGGAGTATGGAAGGAGAAACACTTTGACAAAGTAACCTTTCCTAATTCTTTGCTAAGGATTTAATTATTGTTTACCTTGTTACTGTCAGTTCATTGTTTTTAACAATCATAGTGGCATCTGGTTTCTTAGGATCAGACCCAGGATGAATTTCAAGTATAGTGAAGTCAATGGGGTGGAAAAACTGTCCTAAAAATAGAAGCCAAAATTACCATTTTAGGCATGTTGCACGCTAAAACAGTTCTGCATTCCTGTGCTGCTTTCCATTTCCCTTCAGAGTTTTGAATTGATAAGCAAACACCAGGTTTTGAGTAAGGTTGAACACATGCAAGAATTCTCTGTGTATCTGGATGTAAATTCCAACTTCTGAGTGCACAGTAAAATTAGCCTTTTCTAGATATCCTTCATGATGTCCTCATTTTGTGTCTTGTCTATTCAGTTGTATTTATTATATACTCTCCAAGTCATTAGCTTTTTTGTATCAAACAGTACATGTATTGAGCTCTGAAACTCTTGGATGTGATTTTGTTTGGAATAAGGCTGACACCTAACGAATTTCCACACTCCTTCCAGGGTAAGCTTTCACACACTTTTTCCCTGTCTGGGCTGGTGCAGGATGCTGGTGGTGCTTTGAGTGCTACAATGCGCAGAGATTTTAGATTACTTAGTATAGTACAGGGGCAAAGTCAAAGATGATGAAAACAGAGATAAGAGGTGTAAGTCACTGAACTGTATATAACATGGCGTACCCACATTATGTGGGCCCTGCACAATTTTTTTCCTACTTACAATTCACATAACAGCAGAGTAATTTCTGTGTGGAGAGGTCACGTATGAGGACCATGGAGCAGGAAAGCATAAATAACATTCCATCCTTATTCTGCTCCTTTTCTGTTCTGCTCCAGCATGTCTAAGGCACTGATGTGCCTTGGCTCACTCTTTGGGCCTCAAAGTGCGTATCAAGACTGAGAAGAATAGCAGTTCATTATTTTCCACAATGAGTAAACTTATTGACCCAAAGTGAATGTTTGCTGCCCTTACCTCATTTTGTGAGTTAAAACTGGGAGGCAAGGGAAAATGGCTGCTACCTGTGTATTTTCCAACACAGAATGCACGTCACCAAACTCACTGCACTGACAAAGCAGGATTCGATGGGGTCAAAATTTTGATCCCTGAATTATCAACTTTGCATTCTACTAGAACAAAGAATGTTAGCTGACATGAGGAAAACCTTAGCCAATGCAAGACATTCTGTGACATTAATATATACTAATAAATCAAGATATACCTTAACAACTTTGTTTCTTAAAAGGATGCACTAATTGAGGTTTGCCAAATTTCAGTGAGCATTTTTCTCAGAGTGCTTTTCTCAGAAGAAAGGAGAGCTCAAACCATCCAAGAAACAGGAAGAATAGTGTAGTAAGAATGAAAAATAATCTGTAGATAGTTTAAAGAGGTTCAAAGATACCAGTGAGGACAGTGGATACTTATTATTTCAGCAGCAGTAGCAGAGTTTATGAAAAGATAATGCATAAAGTCTGAACTCAGAATGTTTTGCCAGAAATCTTAATACAACAAATCAATGTCACATTTCCTCTGCTATCTCAATTCACAGAGCCTAACTACAAGATTGTGTCTACAAATTATATAGCCTTGTAAGGAAAGACAAGCATGAAAACACTAAATGAAGCCATACCTAATAGTCCATGGGTCTGTTCAGACAGTTTGTCACTTTCCAATGTATACAGTCCCAGGAAATCCT